CACACTTAAATAACCTTAATCTGACAACAAAGAGCTTTTGCAAAACAAAGACCCAAAGTAATCTCAGGAGAGATTGCTGCTTGCACTGATTACTGAATTATTATTATTGTTATTATTACTGCTATTGTTATTGTTATTATTATTATTTTATCCCCAACTTATGAGTGCACATACACAATCATGTATATATGCATACACAAACTCCCTCACCTTAAGTTGACTTGTCCAGTCCAGGAGTTTGGGACGTCCGCCTTGGGTTTGTCCATGGCTCCTCCCTTCAAAGTGGTTGCATGACCAACACCCTGTCAACACAAATATACACTCACCATGACTTCAGTTTCGCTAGAGCACCCAAAACATTCACACCAAGTTTCAATGTTTCCTACTGAGCAACATGCCAAAGTGTCTGAACACAGTTCTGCACTGAAATACTGTAATTGCATCCTTGATGTCACTCTCTCACTGCCTTTCACTTGTTTTTAAACGATTAATATCTCATCTGGGGACAGCGATCAAAACAGATAATAGGCAAATGAATAGAAAACAAATACAAAGATAAAGAAAAACAAAATGATGCACCGTAAAAGGGTAGGTCCACTTTCCTCACCGTGAAGCCGCTGCTAATGCTGGTCCAGAACGTACCCTGTTCTCCACCCAACACACACACACAAACGCATGGGACGACCCCCCCCCCTTACGGGACGCAGCAAACACAAGAAAGTGACCTAGATTATCTGAGTAGAGAGCGATTATCCCCCCCGCTAGGCCACATGCTACTGAGGGCCACAGGGGCAGCAGAAGCGGCGGGGCTATTGTTAATGTGCATCTCCCTTCTTTATTGAGTGCACACATGAGGACGACAACAGAGACATAGAGAGACTTTAATGGAGAGATGGTCGGATGACATAACAGTTCTGAAAAGGGAAAGCAGACACTTTCAAGTTAACGTTTACAAAAAATGACTATAGTTTCTGACTTCATGTTTTGAAGTATTGTTTCAAGTATTGTTAATGCTTAGTTCATGTTAACTAATACAGTTAATAACTTTTAACTAATGAATCTTATTGTAAAGTGTTGCCAATGCTTCTTAAGCAGCAAATCAGCATATTAGAATAATTTCTCATGTGACACTGAAGACTGGAGTAAGGCTGATGAAAATTCAGCTTTGCATCACAGGAATAAATTACATTTTAAAACATATTAAAATAGAAATATTTTAAATTGCAATAATATTTCAGTTTTTATTGATAAACTGATACTGTTTTTTTGTGTTAAAATACAACATAAATAAAATAACAATGAAACTGGCCACCTGAAAAAAAAAAATCTATTAATGAATTAATATGGTTGTAGTAAGCACAGTATTTTTTTCAGAAAATAAGTCACACTGGGTCAAAATTGCATTGTTGAGAGAACATATGTCGTATAAATCACATTTTATTATTGCAATTAAATATAATGTAAAATACTGGTAAATTAAATGATACAACATTTTTAAAATTGAAGTGGTCAGAACAGGATTTAAAAATATACAAATACAATACAAAACAAACATAAATTATAGCATTCATTATAAACAACATGTATTATAAACAGTAAGCCAAAAATATTTTTTAAGCAAAAATTAAACTACCAGTGTTTGAAATGCTCTCCACAAACAAACTTGGGCTCACGTACTGAGCTCATTCGGCACCAATACTAACTTGTGCTTTGCATATGTTTTGTGCACTTGACATTAATTGCATTATATCAGTCACAGCTAATTTCAAAAATTAAGATGATAAAAAAAAAAAACATGCAACTTATATTCTGGAAAATACGGTATTGCAGGTTTTGGTGGGAACGAAATAGAACAACGGGGGGAAAAAAATAATATGATCCCCCTAAAAAACTGGCTCAGGTGTGATGTGAGGATTTTGTTGATATGTTTACGACCTAAATAGGCTCGAAGTAAACACAGTAAAACATTCACGGTCACACGCATCAGCCGTGAGAGCGGAGTCTATATTAAATATATGTCCTTGGCTCTCGGGGTGCGTGGCCTGTTTACATAAGACTTATGAGTGGTGGCTAAACTCTTGGGAATACGGTAATTGAATAAATGTCAAAGCCCAATGAGAGAGTTTGTAAGAGACTGTGTGTGTGTGTGTGTGTGTGTGTGTGTGTGTGTGTAGGGATTTGCATCATAAATGTGTTTCTCTATGACCTTTGAGTCCATCTCATCCATCCATCTAACTGTAGAGCTGACAGATAATACAACAGCAAAGCCTAATCATCAATCTAATGTACATAATAACTAAGCACAAATTCTAACATAAGACCTAGACAAAAAGACACTAACTCAAACTGTTAAGAGTACCATGGTAGAGGGCTGCATTGGGTTTGGGCTCCCGCAGGAACCGCGGGACCCAACGCAAATCTCGCGGGAGTGCGCGGTTTTACCTTTGCTGTGGGCGGGAGTGGGCGGTCAGAAAATTTTGCGGGAGACCCGCGGGGAACGGTGGGATTTGGCGTGTAGTAGAAAGTGTGTGTTTGTGTGTGTGTGTGTGTGTGTGTGTGTGTGTGTGTGTGTGTGTGTAGGGATTTGCATCATAAATGTGTTTCTCTATGACCTTTGAGTCCATCTCATCCATCCATCTAACTGTAGAGCTGACAGATAATACAACAGCAAAGCCTAATCATCAATCTAATGTACATAATAACTAAGCACAAATTCTAACATAAGACCTAGACAAAAAGACACTAACTCAAACTGTTAAGAGTACCATGGTAGAGGGCTGCATTGGGTTTGGGCTCCCGCAGGAACCGCGGGACCCAACGCAAATCTCGCGGGAGCGGGCGGTTTTACCTTTGCTGCGGGCGGGAGTGGGCGGTCAGAAAATTTCGCGGGAGACCCGCGGGGAACGGTGGGATTTGGCGTGTAGTAGAAATGGAGTCAACACAAGAAGTTGAGAAGAAAATTAAAGCGGCTGTTTACTTGACAAAAGCAAAGCAAGGCAAGTCAGACATCTGGAAACAATTCTCAATTGTCACTGAAAAAAATGGGAAAGAGTTAAACTTCGTAAGTTGCGATAAATGTGCAAAAGTGTTCGTTTACAACGGACATAAATCTGGCACCTCTGCCCTGAGGCGACATACCTGCACAGTTCTCTGTGGTCAAAGCAAGCTCTTGTTCCCCCATAAAGCACTTCCTGCTCACGTTAAGCAAGAAACTGCAGAAAAATGTGTCGCACTTTGCTGTAAAGACATTAGACCGTATGACTTAGTTGCCGGGAAAGGCTTTGTTGACATAGTTAAGCACTTTGTTAACGTAGCCGCTAAATACATTTGATGTGAGAGATGCTCAAGTCTGGGACCGCAGTCAGTCAGCAATATACTTTTCCTTCATAGTAATATGGAGTAAGCAAAGCAAGGCCCAGTGATCAAATTAATTTGTTTAGTAGTCTACGTTATTTAAAAAACATTTTTTTTTGTATTATTTATTTTCTTTTTTGCAATAGCCTGTTAAGCAAGCTATTGTGAATGTGAAATCTGTTAGATTTTTTTAAGCATTCTATTTATTTCGTTTTGTATTTAATTTCTTAAAATTATATCTAGCCTATTTTCAAAGTTCTCTGTGTTTATTTATTTAATGTTAAAGTTATTTTCTAGTTAATTGTTTGGTGCGTGTGTATGCAGTAGGCCTAGCCTGCGTTTAAAAACTGAGGTGCCGCTAGTTGCTGTTTTGTTTTAACGGTTAATGTTTTATAAGCTAATAAAAAAATACCCAATGTTTTTGTCATTTGTGGTGCTTTGGTTTAGCATTGGTTACTTCATCTTATTTAAACACAATCATGTTTAAAGTCTGTTATTCTGGATGTTAACTTGAACCAATATTTAGTTTGAGTATTTGAGTACATTTTTCACAAGCTCTGAGATGAAGTCCGCGGGAGCGGGCGGAAGTGGACACAAACATTGCGGGCGCGGGCAGGAGTGGAACACATAGGTTGCGGGAGCGGGCGGTCCTGGTCATACATTCAGGGGGAGCGGGCGGGTGCGGGTTTAAGAAAACAGTCCCGCGCAGGGCTCTATACCATGGTGCCTTAGTAATACCATGGCATTCATTCTTTAAAGTACCATACCACATACCATGATATTTGAGCCTTTTAACGCTATTAACGCTATTGCTTGGCAATAATTTGACCACAGTGTCCCAAAACACGCTTGCTGCCATTCAGCAGTAAGGGGCGTGTCTAATAATGACAGGGAGAAGAGAGCGCTCAGCGAGTGCACAGGACGGATATTAGCAAATCGACTATAGATAGCGAGAGATGGCAGATAGAAAAAAAAGAGGAAAATTCCGGAGGAACAAAACATTAAAAAGAAGGGTTACGATCAGGCAAGAGGTAGGACCCGCATAAATATTGGAGCAGCTTTCCATTCAACACACACTACTACCAAACACATTCGACCTGAATTACCATAGTAACACACATCGCTTTCACTTATTGATGAATAGCATAGCAGATTCCGCCATCGTCGCTGCCAGGGTCATGCACGTACGTGTGGGGTAGAGTTATCAAAATAGGGGCGATGTCCTTTTGGCGTATGGGCGTGTTTGTTTGGGTGTTTTCAAATATCAACATCATTTGGCAAAATTCTCTTAGTGTGCCTTTAACACAACTTTATCCATCAGTTAGCATTTACTGGAAATATGATTTTCATGCACACGCTGCTTTTTTCTCTGTAAAGTTTCTGATCTGATCCAAAACAAAAGTCTTGATGGGTTCATTGCAATATTGTTCCAGGCTTAATGTTGTTGATTCAGGAGCAAGTTATGAAATCAAACCAAAATGACTACAACAAGTTCTTGGAACAGCATCCTTTTTAGTCCTTGAACAATATTCCATCACCAGACCAGATCAGATTTTAAAATTAGGTTTAGGGTCTTGAATAATATCTTTAATGAACCTCATCAGGTTGTTCCAGGACCATCAGATCAGAACGCAATGTCTTACTTGTGTAAATCATGTGTCTGAAGTACACACTGCAGTTTCTGATCTAATGGAAGTCCTTTCTGAAAAACTCCCTGGAGGAACTCTGAGCTTCATGTTCATGTTATGGCTGGGAAGGGAAGGGGAACCCTGAAGCTCTCCCAGTCCCTTATCATCCATCCCAGGAGCTCAAGCTCACAGCCAGCGGTCACCTCCACTGAAGCACAGCACACCGTTAAATTATTTGAGGAGTTTCTCTGGGCTGCTGAGCTCTACTCACATCACAGCTGTATGTACAGGAGAGCCGGGTAATTATGAGTGTGGGATGGTGATTCTCTGCCCCGTTTTGTTGGCCACAAGATGATTATCAGATGTGCTGAGGAGCTTGTCTAGACTTTCCAGCACACATAAACATGAATGTGAGATGTGTAATTATGGTCAGTGCTCTAATAACCACCCAGGACCTTTAATTGATTTTCATACAATGCTACGGTCAGGGGGACATTCGCTTTGTTCACTGTTTGTTTGTTTCTTTTGTTGGTTGGTTTCTTTTTCTTTCTTTCTTTCTTTCTAAATTTGATTGTTCATTGATTTGTTCATTCTTTGTAAATTTTTTTTGTTTATTGCAGTAGTTTTCTTGTTTCTCTAGACTTTCCAGCACACATAAACATGAATGTGAGATGTGTAATTATGGTCAGTGCTCTAATAACCACCCAGGACCTTTAATTGATTTTCATACAATGCTACGGTCAGGGGGACATTCGCTTTGTTCACTGTTTGTTTGTTTCTTTTGTTGGTTGGTTTCTTTTTCTTTCTTTCTTTCTTTCTTTCTTTCTTTCTAAATTTGATTGTTCATTGATTTGTTCATTCTTTGTAAAATTTTTTTGTTTATTGCAGTAGTTTACTTGTTTCCTTGGTTTGTTGGTTTACCTTTTTTGGTAGTTTTTAGTTTGCTTGTTTGTTTATTTTTTGTTTCGTTAATTTGTTTGTTTGGTCATTCATTTATTCATGGGTTGGTTTATTCTTGGTTTATTATTGGTTTGTTTAGGTAGTCTGTTTGTTTCTTTGGTTTGCCTTTTTTGATCATTTGTTTGTTTCTTTTGTTCATTTGTTTGTTTGTTCATTCATTTCTTTAGTTGGTTCATTCTTGGTTTATTTTTTGTTTGTTTGTTTCCTTGGTTTATTGGTTTCTTTCGTTCTGTCTTTCTTTCTTATCTTACTTTAAGTTGTTTGTTATTCATTTTTATTGGTTTATTCGTGTTTTATTTTTTGTTTGTTTTAGCAGTTTACTTGTTTCCTTGGTTTATTAGTTTGCCTTTTTGATCATTCATTTGTTCTTTCTTTCATCAATTTATTTGTTTGGTTTGTTCATTTATTAGTTGGTTCATTCTTGTTTTTTGTTTTTTTTACTTTCAATAGTTTGCTTGTTTCCTTGGTTTGCTGGTTTGCCTTTTTTGACCTTTCTTTCTTTCTTTGTATCAAATAAATTCAGCCTTGGTGAGAGACTTCTTTCAAAAACATTATAAAATCTTACTCAACCCAAATATTTGGGTCAATTTACAAGATATTGTCTGAAGCTGATCAACAGTGACATGCACATGTACAGCATAATGTACAGTATTATAACATTAATGAAATTAAAAGGCTAATTTCATTTCATTTTCAGTGGGGTTCAGACTTGCTCAAGATCAAGATTTTCCAGTGCATCACTAAAAGCTGGCCTCTGACTGTAGGCACTGATTGATTGATAGAAATGTTGATCCAGGAACATGTCCTAGTATTATAAATCACGTTTTAACTAGCAAAAACAAAATCACAGTGCAGTCTCCAATTATCCTTTACAAGCGTCACCTGATTCTTAAGAGTGCTGAAGAAGTCCTGCAGGAGGAATTGGAATCAGCAGCGGTGGCACTGACAGAAGCAGATATTTATTTGGGAGCAGAGAGAATACGCATATATTTATGAATCCTCACCATCTCAAAAGTGCTGCCGTTGATGCATTAGCGTGCCCTCACTCTGTCATTGAGGAGTGCACCGCAATGATTACTGTCACTCAGAGCCATCTGAGACGGATGTGTGCGAGCATCTGCGCGAGTCGTAATTTTACAGACACCTTAAGAATTCCAAACAATTGCGGTACACTTTCTTTTCCCGTTTGATGCTAATATTTCAGAGATATTGGACAGTTTTATGTACGTAATCCTAATACACTCAGCAGTTTCCAAGAGCCTGAAAGTGCTACAATTTAGGAAATGTCACACTCAGAATTAAAATATACTGTGTTGGCTTTCTGTGTGACCCCGAGGCACTGAGAGTACATTCAGCAAAATCCTAAACACTGTTCATTCATATTGAAAATTACACTACTATTCAAAAGTTTGGGGTTGGTAAGATTTTTAAATGGTTTTGAAAAAGTCTCTTCTGCTCACCAAGGCTGCATTTATTTGATGAAAAATGCATTAAAAACAGAAATATTATTACAATTTAAAATAACTGTTTTCTATTTCAATATCTTTTAAAATGTAATTTATTCCTGTGATGCAAAGCTGAATTTTCAGCAGCCATTTCTCCAGTCTTGTGTCACGATTCTTCAAAAACCACTCTAATATGCTGATTTGCTGCTCAAGAAACATTTCTTATTATTAATGTTGAAACTGGTTGTGCTCTGCATAATATTTTTGTGGAAAAAATGTTTTCAGGATCCTTTGATAAAAAGAAACTTCAAAAGAACACATTTTATTTGAAGCAGGAATCTACTGTAACATTACAAATGTCTTTACTGTCACTTTTGACCAATTTAATGCATTCTCACTAAATAAAAGTATTATTGTCTATTAGAAAAAAAAATCTTACTGACCCCAAACTTTTGAGCAGTAGTATATGTGCTGTGTCTGTCTAAATGTGAGAGCAAACAGAGCTGTTTAATAGATGACCTCAAACACAAAGAATGAAAGAGAGACATATAGCGAGAGTAAAAGCTTTGTTGATGAAAACAATCATGGAAGAAAGTAAGATAACAATGATGGCAGAGCTAAAAGGTCAAACTTAAGCACAAATATAATATGACCATGAATGTTGAGTGTTCAGTGTAAATCCTGCAAACAAGGACAGGATACATCAGAAGACCAAGAACTCAAAAGTAGTCTTGTATTGCTTCTTCCAAAAGCACAATACAAATTTGGCCTTCATTTACTGTAACTGAACTGAAAAAAGAAAGTTGACACTTTCCCAGACACTCCTATCAAACATCAGCATGTGGTGTGTGTTCACTCACAGTGGACTGGGGTCTGCTGGTGTCCTCAGGGTCCAGTGAAATGACTTCCAGGGGCGGGGCGAGGGCGGGGTCACTGCTGCTTCGCACACATAGAGGAGTGGCTGATGGGGAAAAAAGTCAAAGAATACACTTTTAAATCTAAAATAGAATCATTCTGCATTTTAAAACCAAGGTTAAGTGGAAAAGATATTGACTTAGACTGTGAAAAAGCACTGTGGCACCATGATACAATCATATAGCACCAAACACTGTTATTTTAGTATCATGGAGATACCATAATAGGTTTTGTTAATACTTTGAATTAGATTTTATTCATATTTTCCATTTTAATTTTGTGTTTTTTTCATTTTTAATTGCCTTTTTTAATGTCAATTTTTTGAAGTTTTAGTTATTTTAGTACTTCAACTTAAACGAAACAAAACTGAGAAATGTTGCGTCCATGCCTTGGCAACTAGCTGAAATAAAAATAATATTTTTTTTATATTTAATTTTTTTTTTTTTTTCAGTTAATGATGAGTAATGTTTAAGTAACATTTTAGTTTCAGTTAACAATAATAACCTTGGAAATGTATAATTATCATTTTTATGTACCATGGCATTTACATAGTGCTTCAAACAATACCACTGTAGCAGCACAGTAAATGTCAGAAGTATTACCGTGACACTTTTTTTGTAAGTAAAGATAATACTGGTTCATCTGATCTTTGAAGAACTCCAGCATAAAATAAGTACATTTGAGCCGTTATTTTTATGTCTCATTTACCATTATTCAATTTTATCTTCTCAGACAGACAAGTGCTGGTCAAACACTTTTTGAACAGCACCAAGAGTGTTTTCATTTTCAGACACACATTGGATCATACAAACACAATTAAAATCACACTAAACTCACCACATGAAAGCACAACAATACATTCTCACGGAACACAAGCACAAAGACATCTGAATGAGTCAGAGCAGCTTTCCGTACACATACTCAGTCCTGCCAAACGTCTCCCATCACACACATTTGTCTGGTTTCCATAAAAGGGACGACAGCCAAAGTGCTCAGCAGAAACGGCTACGGGAACAGGATGCTAGATCCGTCAAAAACAGCTCTGTCTTTTACAGGAACAAAATAATACTACGGAAAAATGCAATGAGGGAGTTTTATATCAGCACTGTACAACAGAATGTCCTTGGCCTCCATACTGAAGAGGATCTCCAAGACCTCCTGAGATAAGGCCGGAGACACTGTGACATCTCAAGGATCTCAAGTACACAAGTGTGTGGAAAGCTGGCATGGCAGCAAGGTCACTGCTGGTGAAACAGTTAAATGAGCTGAATCATAAGAAACAGGGTTTTCTACCACAGGGATAAAGAGTTTTATGTACCATGTTTATGAAGCTGAGATATATTAAAAATATATACTAAGCAGTAGGGCTGTGCGATTAATCGAAATCGAATCGAAATTGTGTTTTGAGATGTTGCGATTTCCTAATCGCAAAGCCTGCGTTTCTGTGAAATTCAGTAATTAAGTTAATTCTTTAAAAGTAGTTATGCCAATATAATCTTGCCTGCTGAAGAAAAAAAAACAACAGAACCCCTCCCAAAACACAAAATATTTAATGGATTTCATGGTTATAATGGGAATTTGTTTGGTTTTAATGTAAACTATAATGGTGTCTATTTGATGGATTCTATTGGTGGGATGTAATCTGGCAGATGGCAACCAATAGAACAACAGTAATTCCTATTGGAATAATGCCCAAAACAAAAAGGAATTTTGTAATGGTTTAATGGAAACTATAAGAGTTTCTGTGATGGTTTCTATTGTTTTTTTTCAGCAGGGTAATGATACCCATACTGTGCTGCACATTACTGACAATATTGAGCTGAAGCTTGACTTTGCAACTTTAAAATCGCAATCACAATATCTGTAAAAAAAAATCGCAATTTGATATTTTCCCCCAAATCGCACAGCCCTACTAAGTAGCAAAAATGACTAATTCAGAAACAGTAACCCCACTAATGAGCTCATTAGCATATGCCTGTCCTACATTTACATGTTAACAAATAGAGCATATTCATCCACCCTAATGAATGACAGTGTGTACTACAGAGGTTAGCTATTTATGCTACATAGTTGTTGTTTTTTTATCAGATTATGCTAGGGTGACCATACGTGCCATTTTCCCAGGACGCGTCCTGGCCAGGATTTCTATATTGCCTAAAATATCTAGGTTTTGGCTTTATTTGCGTGTGCAGACCGATCGGTGTATGACATCAAAATACCTCGAGAGCATTTTGAAAGCATAAGGAACCGTCTGTATGGTATTTTGATGTCATACACCGATCGGTCTGCACACGCAAACAAAGCCAAAACCTAGATATTTTAGGCAATATAGAAATCCTGGCCAGGACGCGTCCTGGGAAAATGGCACGTATGGTCACCCTAGATTATGCATCATTCATCTGTATTTGTGTACAAGTGCTCATTTTTATGTGCAAAGAAAAAGTTCAAGCAAAATTCCTGCCAGTTTCACAACAGGTCTGTAAACATAAATTCCTCCCCTTATTCTTTATTAGTTGCATTTAGTTATTTTTTTTCCAGATAAATACTGCTCTGATTGCCTAAATAAATAAATAAATAAAAAGATATTGCTTCCTTAAAATGCATAAGGAAGAATGTTTTTAGGGTAGTAGCAGGGTGTATAAATGTATGCATTGTTTCGGAAAAGTGAGATTTTTTTTCAAAGATGCATTAAATTGATCAAAAGTGACAGTAAAGACATTTCTAATGTTACAAAAGATTTCTAATTCAAATAAATGCTGTTCTTTTGAAGTTTATATTCATCAAAGAATCCTGAAAAATGTATTACAGTTTCCACAAAGATATGAAGCAGCACAACTGTTTTCAACATTGATAATATTAAGAAATGTTTCTTATCAGCTTATCAGCATATTAGAATGATTTCTGAAGGATCATGTGACACTGAATACTGGAGTAATGATGCTGAAAATTCAGCTTTGCATCACAGGAATAAATTACATTTTAAAATATATTCATATAGTAAACCATTATTTTAAATTCTAAAAATATTTCACAATATTACTGTATTTTCTTTTTATGAACAGTCTTGGTGAGCGTAAAAGACTTTTGATGTACAGTTTTAAAGTAGCTTCCTACACTGACAAGAACTAATTATATTGTATGTACTGGTAAAAGTGACAGAACACAATACTGATGACTTCTGCCAGCCGCAAATAACAGAAAGAGCAAGTCTGACCCTGAAAAGATAAAGAAAAGAGCACTGAGGGGGAAAAAAAATCAAGCACAGTGCTTGTCAAACAGACACTTCCAGCAGCAAAGACTGCTCATATCCTTTAGTCTGCTACTAGAAATCATCAAACAGGCTTTTGGGTATGATCACACTAGCACAGAAACTCTCATTCAGGTGAAGTTGGTATGTTCTGGGAGTCATTAACACAGACTTTGTGTCCGTCTTTTTAAGGTACTGAAACCAAAAGCAACATCTGCTATAGTAGCTAGTTCATTAGGAAAGCTGTTGGTATTGCTTTTTGAGCAATATTTCAACTTATCAGGGCCATCTTTACATTTATCATTGAGCTATTGAACTATATTTCTCTGCATACAGATAAGGCCAATCAAAGAGACCTAGACAGAAACCCAGACTCTTTTCAGGCCTGAGATGAGTTCATTTATGTGACAAAGTTTGGATAGATGTCCCAGTATCCTTACTATCCTTTTCCATAAACATTATATTTTAAGCTTTTTGTTTGTATCCTGTGTGTATGCCACCTTAGAGCAACTCTTAAACCATAACCTTCATTGACATCATTTATCTACACCATAAGACCTCCAACATACAGTAAGCCACTAACTACACCCTAAAGACCTTACTAAGGATGCTCACAATAAGAAAGCTCTCAGACCTTTGTGATGTTTATGAATTCTCATAAAGGAGTGTTACATCTGTGCAGTGTCTTGATGAAGAGTTTCCCTCAACTCCAATCAATCTTCCCAATCCTGCAGAACCTGGTGGAGCTTGGCACTAAACTCCAGGCTCAAGGTTAATCGTCGAGAGGATTGTTCATGCAAACTCATTTTAGGCGTTAATTTTGGTTTTACGCCCCTTAAAAAAACAGAGGTAAGAATCTGTGGGACATCTGTAAAGGCCAGGGCGATTCAAGGTAAAACCTTTAATTACTGGCTATTCTGATACAGGAGTGGGACAACCCATCTGGTGGTTTCATCTTCCAGGAAAAGCACGACATTTGGAGTGTGCTATGAATATGTGCTTTCAGCTGAATAAATAAGAGAGCCAATCCCACAATATAAGTAATCAGGCTAAAAATAAAGAGAATTTGAGTGTGAAAATATTAAAGTATTAATAGACTAAAGGTTAGACATTCACAGACCTGAAGCTACACATCAAATGTTTTCATAAGAACTGTTTGCCTTTTATATATATAACAAAAAAGTAGAAATATGTATTAATGGTTTTATTAAAGTTGTGTAAAGGTAAATAACTAAAATTTTATTTAATGCTTTTATTATTACAAACATTAATACTTTTTAGTTGCTTTTAAATTGACAATGCTATTACAAGTTGCTTTATCTTGTTTAACATGTTCATTTTGTCATCATTTGCAATATCCAGCAAAGTAAACCAAAAGATTGAAGGGTGATTCTCACAAAACTATATATTCTGCAACTTTATTTCAAGATAAAGTTAGTTGTCTTTTCAAAAAAGGACACTTGGAGACTCCAAAAGGACACCAAAGAAACAAATGATATAAGGAGTCCATATAATTGATATATCTATGCACACAAAAGCACACATTAAAATAAATAAATAAAACACAGTAAAAACTTCTCAGAATTCAGTGTATAGTATGTGTTGCCTACAGTAGACAAGTCAAGTTGTGATACCGAACAGGATCACATGGAGATGTCAAAAACTCCTAAACCAACCTCCTTGAGTTGACCACTAGTACAGTACACGGATCCATTCAGAATGATTAAACACAGCAATATACAAATGACAAATCAAAACAATATCCTTAATGTGTGTGGAAACAACGAGAATACTGAAAA